CTCAGCAAGAAAATCACTCGAAAATCACTCAACGACAGCAAGCACTAGTCGAATGACTTTAATACCGAATTTATTAGTTAATTATTAATTACTGTCGATTAATCACACACACATTCGTCACTTAAAAATTCACTCGAAGAAAGGAATACACAACGCTAATACGACAGTCGTTAACTCGACGAAGCAATCGATCGATTTTATTGGTTATGTTTATACTATCGCGGTCGAAACACGAGGTCTGTTCTTTATTCCTGCACTAATGAATTGGTGCATTTAATTGAACCTAAAGACGCGTGATTATGTAATTGAAATCTCAGACCGCAGCAAATTCGAAACAGAGTGCACTGCACTCACGTGTTACAAATACCTCGAAGCGTAATTAATTGACTAATATTTCAAAAAATTTATGTTTCGAAGCATTCGTAGCGCCAAGTGAACTAGCTACAATTAACTAAAAAGAATCGAATTTATGCGACATTACATAAAATGTTAGAAATGTTGAACTGTTTCGAAAAAAATCAAGATCAGAATATTTCATATTATGTTGCGTGATATAGATTTTGCTTCCAAACAAGTTAATGCTTCTTACATTTCATGTAATCATAGTTTTGCGCCCGTGGTGGACATAATTATAAATTTTTTCCAAACCAGTCAATATTTTTTACATTTCTCTTCCGATCTTGATCTTTTCTGCGTAAGAGAGATATTCCTGTAAGAAAGTACTGGTCGCCCTAAAAAGGGCGGATTGCTTTCTATCATTTTAAAAAGAGCGAAATGATGGATGAAATAAATTTTATAAGAGATGTTCAAAATGTCCACCGTCCATTCTAACGCAGGCTCTCATGCGTCTCAATAAATTTCTTTGCACATTCTCCATCATATTTTCTTCGATGGCCCATACGGCATACCGCAATCTTGTATCAAGATCTTCCATGTCTTCGGGCAACGTTTTATAAATCAATTTTTGCAGTATCCCCAAAAAAAGAAATCCAGAGGATTAAGATCTGGAGATCTGGCGGGCCAACGTATTGGGCCGTATCGACCCATCCATCGTCCAGGAAATTTCTGATTTAAATAATTCGTCACTATTCTAGCGTTGTGTGCCCCGCACCGTCTTGCTGAAATACAATTTTGTCTCTGTCGAATAATGGTATTTTTTCTAAAAAGTCTGGTAGATTGTTCCTTAAAAATTCCAAATATGTTTCTCCATTTAAAATATCCGGGAGAACAACTGGACCTAGTATCTGAGTTCCCATAATTCCTGTCCAGACATTCATCTTCCAACGAATTTGGAAGTTTCTGTTTCGCGTCACTCTAGGATTTTCATCGCTCCATACGTGCATGTTATGCGAATTAAATACTCCTTCTTGCGTAAATAATGATTCATCGGTAAATATTATTCGAGATGGAAATCTTGGATCTCGATCTACTTTTCTTAAAAAGTTTTCGCAGAACGTTTTCCGTAGAGGATAATCTTCTGGTCGTAATTGTTGCACGCGGGTATAATGAAATGCATGCACTTTTTCTTCTTGTAATATCCTCTGAACGGTCGAATATGATAATCCGTGTTCACGAGAAATAATTCGAATACTCGTTTCAGGGTTTCGCTCAATAGCTCGAATAATTTCTTCCGTATTTCGCAAATTTCTTGCGACACGGTTTCTTCCAACGTCGTGG